CAGCAGGATGAAATGGAATTGATCACTAACCTGTGGTGCTCACCATGTACTTCCACTTCACCACATATGTGTCTCCCTCATGGAACTGCCCTATACTTTGCTTAGGCAGTCTACTATAATCGAATTCCAGGATGTGCCAGACATCCACAGATGCAGTGATAATTTCAAACTGCCTTCCATCTTCTCCTGCCACAAGTCCATAGCCCCGGCCAATATTCATTCCATCCAAGACTGTGCCTACAGTTGTTTGGGGCACAGCTACCATTAGCATGACATCATATGGTTTAGAGTCAGATCTGGATTCTTCCTGTCAAAAAAACCACAGAAGAGATTTCTTTGAGCAGTTTTTTTCTTCTTACCACACAGTTCTACTCAAACAGTTTCACTCCTGGGTATTTCAGTAGTTTGATATTTTGTCATCATTTGCTGCTTTGTCAAAGCCACCTTGGCAGTATTCACTGAGCTGCATGGCACGAATAGAAAGCGACCCTGTGGGTTCACTGTAGGTGGTGATGTTCTGACCCCTAGGGCAAAGCCCACAAGATAAAGAAAGTGCTCTGGATCCTTGAGTACAAGCTTCCCTGGTTTCCATTCCAGCTAGGTCATCTAAGTTGAAATACCTAGCATGCTTATTTTATGCACCTTCTGGTGAAGCGATTCACTAGCATTCTTCTCATTGAGTTTCTTCAGCTCTGTCCAATCAAGAAACTTTTCTTTGAACAGTATAGTCTCGTTATGTTCTGTGAGCCTGCCAAACACAGCCCAGTCTGGGCGTCCTTGTCCCTTTCTGTACAGGGGAACAAAAGAAATAAAACCAAATTAAACACCGTGAAATAGAGGCAAAAAACCCCAAGTTTCTGCAAGGAGATCAAACTCAAGTTTTGATACCTGGGTATGAGGGGATTGCATTCCCCTGGGTCCAGAGGATTTATGTCACAATTGGAGTAGTCAAAGGTGCCATTCCACAAGTGTTTTGCCAGCTGGAATGCCACTTTTCTTTGTGCTAAAGTAACTTCCTTCCCATGCCATACATATACTTCACTGCCAAAGTCAAACACCAGCACCTAAAAACCAAACCAAAACAAACAAAAAACACACTACCATTATGTTAGGTAATACCTTCATCTTCCAGTTTTCTAGTGGTGCAAGCTGACGGTGCATTGAACACAAACTCCTCCAAATATCTGAGCTCCTGCAGTAATGCTAACAACTAGCACTCAATGCAAGTCAAGCCAAGGCAGTGGTCTGCACTGCAATGTGTCTAATTGTTGAGCATCACTGGAGACATTGAGAACGCTATGAGGGGCATCTTTAGGTAGTAGCTAGGTCACTGGCAGATTAGAGAGGTCTTTCCTACTAAAATCTTGATTTAGTTCCTGACCAGTTACAGCAGTTTTCACCAACATTTAGATGTCTCCTTTGTCCTGCAGCTGGGAAGGCTGACAGAACATACAGCATGGGTATGTGGTTCAGCAAACAGCTAGCAACTGTAACACTTTCAAGAAAATGCATTGTGTCTGATACTTTCCATTTTGGAAATCTGCTCTCATTTCTACTTAGATGAGTGAAAATAGCTGTTTGAAAGAGAAAAGTCTGCTAAGGGTAGACATAAAAATGCTTGAGTGGGAAAATAGGTTTTTCTTTTGTTTTGTTTTTCTGAAACTCTACCTGTTTTGCACTTCATGACTTTGGAGTGAGCCACTGCTGATCAAAAGATTTACACTTCCTAAAATAGCATTTCACTATAAAGGTAACGATCTAATTTGAGACCTGAAGCACACTCTAGACAGTAAAGTGTTCGGAAGCTTTTCAGAAACACAGAGGACCTAGTTTCAGTGATCCTCTCCATGGGCATTTGCAATCACTGAAAGCTGTTATGTATGTTCCTGCACTTACCACAGGAGCAGTAAGTGGCACGATACCTCTTTTGGCTGTAGCAGGGTACATTTTGGCACCTTTCCCCAGTAGTCATCCTCAGGAATAAGTTTATCCTCTACGAGGCGATAAATGCAATTTGTTTCTATTATTGCAGCTTCATACATTTCATCTTCTTCAGGACTTCCAGCAGCTTAAGGAAAAGATTGTCAAAAAAAAAAAAAAAAATAACATCCAACTATTGTTACTGCAGAGAACCTACTCAACTATTTTACTGTGATAAAACATCAGATACTGTAACTGTAAGGATGCTTACACTGGTAATTTGTCTGTCCACCAAGGAGTTTCCAGAAGTCTTTGGCTGCATGGGTATGGGTATTTATTCCTTCTTCTATAGTCTGTATATAAGAAGCTCTACAGCCAAGTTCCCTCTTTGTCTGAATTAAAGTTGCAAGTTCTGATGCCTAAGAGATTAACAGTTATCTGAACAGGACTGCTTAAGTCTTTGGAATATTTGTGCATATCTTGTTCAGGGAGAAGGCAAAAGTAGATATGTTATAACAGAGCAAATAGCAGGAGAAATGGTTATTTGTTGCACTAAATAGACACTAGAGAAAAATTCACAGAAATACATTCATTCTTTCATTTGCCTTAAAACCAGGCTATCTTAATGAACACAGGAATAAAGAGGACATCCTGCAATTCAGACTATTTTTTGTTTAGTTTGAGTGCAAATCTGTTTCCTGAGGATATCCCTTCTCTTGCAGCTTCCCAGCCTACACGCTCCTATGTCAGCTTTCATTCAGTTCACAGCCTAAAACATATTTATCTACCTGTTGCTGACGCGCCACTTTTTGAGACAACTGGCACCAAGGCTCCATTACATCAAAGAGACATACACTGTGACCATTCTAAAAATAAAGAATAAAAACCCCAGCTAGTACTAACCTTTGCTTTTTCTATGACATTTGCAAACTCTCCTACCCATAAGTAACAGAAATGTGGAGTTAACAACAGGAAACAGTCTCCACTGTTCAGTGACGAGGCCCTTGGTTCAACTAATCTTGTCTGAACATGTCTTCTTCCTAAAAACAAAACAAAGCTAATTATAGTCCTTTGACTATTGCTATCAAATGCCAAGATCTAATTTGTTTTGAATGAAACACAAACAATCCCAGCACGTTTAGCAAAATATATGGCAACAGAATGTTAAAGAGGAATTAAAAGAATACTACAGTGGAAAAAGGTTTTACTCACAGGAAACAAAAAAAAAGTTGCCTCCTATCAACTAGTATTTCTATTACTTTCTGTTCTTGCTTTAACAACTGTGTGTCCTTCTGGAAAGAAATTAATTAAGAAAATGGAAGACAGCAGCCGAGTTCCAGAATCCTTTACATTTGCTTAAGTGAAGCTATGGCACAGTTTCTGTAGGTAGTAAAATGTTTTAAGGATTTCACCTTGCCAAAAAAACAGCTATGATTTTGTAGAATCAGACACATTACTACGCTCTATAAGGGGAAGCAGAGCAAGCACATTGTCATATAATTTCCAGGTTATACTGAGCACTGGATGAACGGGACAGTTCAAAAACTTCTACAGGAGATAGGTAGAATTCATGAAATATTCTCTTTTCTCCCTGGAACATACCCCAGTGGCCACAGTGCACACCTACTTGTAAGGCTTTGCATTTGTCATACAGTTCTCACACACTCTTTTAGCTTTTGGACATAAAACTTGATCTGGAGATCTAGATCAAGCTAAGCATCCAACTGTGGTGGCAACTCCCATATGTTACAATCAGCCTATTCTGTATGGAAAGTGAAAGCAATTGCAACATACCTTTAATTTGCAGCAGCATTAGCTTCTTGTATGGCACAGCACTGTTGTTAGAGTTCTGCTCCGTTAGATTCACACTCCGCAGGCTAACATTGCTGAAGTTCTCTTTGCTTGCTAAGCCAGCAAGTGCTACTTCTGAGAAATTTGAGTTTGCAGACACTTGGACATAAAAAAAAGTTGTAGAAAAACACACGAAACAAAAAAAAAATTAAAAACAATTGATTGTTGCATTAAAAAAAAAAATATTCCCCCATTATTTCCAGTTTTTTTCCTCAAAAGCAACAGCAAAACCAGGCTGAACTCAGATTAACTGCTAGCCCAAAGGCTTTGTGGATTTAGTAGTACCTAAGTTTCTAGATACCATCTAAGAGTCAACTGTCACTGTCAGAATTAAGTTATTTGGCAGAAATACCAACTTTGCTAGGAAATGTCTTACCCAACGTTTTGTGAAGTATTGTGGAGATCTTCAATGCCTTAGAACTGATTAACAATAAAAGACACAAGAGTAGTGGTCAAGTTCAGTTAACTGAAATTCCCCTCAAATTTGTCTCAGTCAGTGTGATGCAACAGCCATTTACATTTTAAAGTCTTAGTCATGTTTTACTGTAAACTTAGGCAAAAGTAGTCAAGAATTTAGGCTTTATTTCTCAACGAAGAAGACAGAGCACTTTATGAATTTATAAGTAAGAAATGCTTCTCATCAAATAGCAACAAAATATTACACACATAATTAGTGTTTTCATCAGTACAGGCAACGTTTAAAGACAATCTCCATTTATTCAAATGCAGTAAGGAAAATTTGTACCTGATGTGGTAAAAGCAGCTTGACAAACCTTTGAAAAAATTTTACAATAACATTTCTTGCTCTCCATTTGGTTGTCAGCAGAAAGCAATGTCAGAAGTAAAACACAAAGCCCTGCCATAGAACACTGATGCTTTATGGAAATTAATCTTTTGGAGTCCAGAAGGCCAATTCCAATTCCTTAGAGAAAACTAGGACCCAAAATTGAAACTGGTGTACCTGAACAAAACTTTATCTCTTCTTGTCAGCTCTTCCCTCCAGCATAACATAATGGTAGATCTGCTTTCCTGTGTCTCCTGTCCTCACTCTGCAGAAGCAGTGGCACTCTCTCTCTGCACTAGATGACTGTGCTAAAAATAAATAATTTAGCCTATGCACATGAGGTGGCTGTAGGAAATTACATATGCCCTTCTCTCCAGGCCTCCTACTAGATAGTCTGCATACAACATTATACCTCCATCAATTTATTCCCTCCCAGAGAATATGTTCCAATCCTTCAGTTATGGTTTTGGTGTTGAGATTTTTTTGTCTTGAATTGAAATAGCAAGACAGTGTCTTGTACAAATCAACCTGTTGGCTTACTTTTTTCTACTTTCATCCGCTTTGACTCCATGAAGGCAACATTTAGTCTTTGCTCAGTATATTCGTGAAGAATATCTTCTCTTGCTGCCAGCATTTTCAGGGGGTTTCTCGAGGACTGGACTCTGCGTGTAGGCCTAACTGCACGTTTGTGCTCTGCTACAGAAGATATTAACCTGAAAAACAAGCAGTGTCTATAATCTTTGGTTAATTTTCTTAGTCAGAATCATCTAATGTAAAGAGATTTACTTTAATTTGGGGTGTGATATGTGTGACTTAAAGCTGAACATTTTGACCACCACCCCTATGTCTGCATTCATAACAACGGAAAATAACCCTAACCAAACAGTTCTTACTTTGGTGCATAAGGATCAAAGATGGCATCAAAGTCCTCATCAAGGTCCAAAGGCACTGAGGAGGAAGGGAAATCCACATGGCGATAAAATTTGGAAAACGTTTCATCATCATCCAGCTTCATAACCTCTTTCACAGATTTTCCTGTAACTGTCAGCACTGTATCTTGCATTCCAGCAACTGTAGGAAAAAAATACCTCACTCAATTAAAAAAAAGAACTATACTAGTTTCTAACTGCAGAAAAGGTAAACATGGCTTATTTGGTCATTGTTGGGGTAGCACTTTTTTGGGGTGTTTTGTTTTTTCTCCCTTCTGCCATAGAGTCAGCTTTCAAAAAGGTAGGAAGGTGAATGAATTGTGGCTTGGGAGCAGCTCATTGCCCTGTCTTGATTTTAATAAGATTAAACTACATTTAAAGCTGTTTGACTGTATATGGCAATATGGTTCAGATTGGCTGCATGCTTTTAAGAAATTCTGCTCTCAAGCAGAATGTATACGTTGTGTAGAGGAAGATGAAAAGTTATTTTGGCATTTGTCATTTATTCTATTGTACATTTATAATGCAATAGCATATGGTTTTTCTGTCAAAATTTTGCAGAGACAGAACCACAAAAATAAACTGTGTGATCAGTAAGCGCAGTCTGAACAAAGCAATACACACTTTCTGTTAACAGATATTTTAATTAAGAGGTACTTGAAGCAATTTGCTGAAGTTGCAGTGAGTGTGGACACATTTTCATTTTCAGTAACTCTACCAACCTTTGTTGTTCAGCCTTCCCAAGAACGACTCCAGTTTGTCAAGCTTCATATCCGATTCTAATTGCATATCAGGCCTGGCTTCAATTTCTAAGCAAACCAGAAAGTAAAAGTTGTTAATTGACAGGAAGTAAGAAAGCCCAAACCTATTACAGTCATTTTTATTCCTTACCTTCCAAGGGTTTTGTAACGGGAGTGGTAGACTTCTGCCGGTTACTGAAAGGGGCTGCTACTGGTGTCAGGGCGCTCGGAGAAGCCAGGCCTGTGTAAGAGCAGAGAACACAGAAAATGCAGACCTGGGTGAGCCCATCTTTCCAACAGTGATGGAAGGGGAATCTATTTAGGGAAAGCAGACAAGCATGCCACTTCCTACAGTCAGCCATACTTCCCCAGGCTCCAGAACCGTTGTCTTAGGGATGGCAAAGTGTATTGCCCTGCCTGCTCCTTAAATCAACAGCAGCCTCAGAAACCGTCCCGCTCACAAGAACCAAGCTTTGTTTCCAAGTGTCTGTAAGCAGGCTAACACGAGATACGTGCTTGCTCTTGTACAGTCATTTCCCTTGATTTCGAGGCAGCAACACAGTTCACTTAGTCTACATTGTGGACTCCAGTTCTTCCACAAGCCACAATTTGAAAACTTGAAGCTGTTCTGAACACAAAGATATGGTTAGCAGAGAAACTACCAAGGTCTTGGCTGGTACCTTCACCACCACCACTACCTCATCCCCTGCTTTTTAATTAGCCCGTCTCTGTTACATAGCAGGACGCATCTGACCTGTGAATGCTGTCCCTGGATTAAGCAGTTGTTCTTGGGCCCTGCTGTGTTTTTAAGAACATGTGGGAATAGAAGCAGAAATGGAAGTTTGAGTCCCCACCATATCAGGCAGTAATCCCTCCTTTTGTTGCACTCTCCTCCCTCCTTTTCCGCAACTATCATAAAGAAATTAATTCTGGAGCTGCTGGATAAAATAAGATGATATTTGTTCTTTTCATGTAAATCTATGTTGCTCCAGTAAGAGAAATGACACTTTACAGTTTCCTGGTTTTTACTAGGTAGAAAAGCATACTGAAGCAAAGAATTGCATCTGTCACCTCTTGTTGATTAGACTTTTGGTGAATGGGGAAACAGACGCTTAAACTTTCCTCTAACATCTGTTTTTCACTTAGCCAAATCTTACTAATTACTAAGCCACGTAAGTTTAAACCTTTATTTATTTTGATCAGACTAAACCAGTATTGTGCTGTGAGAATATATACTCCCTACATTTCTACTATCTTTACTGCAACTCCTAGCAAGTCATAATTATCAAACAGTAAGACAGATTTACAATATAATCAAATCGCTTTTCCACAAACAATTTCAGGAGGTTTTAAGTCAAGTAGTAGAACCTTCATCAAGACATATTTGAGAGGACACAGCTCTTAAGCAGCTCTCCCAGCGCTTAATCCACAAGACCACACAGAGAATTGCTTCAGATGTTAGTAAAGAATAACCTTCCAATTAGGACTGAAAAATTTTCAGCCATAAGAACCAGTTAAAATACAGCATCTGTGCACATGTATATAATAAGGATTTACTTCTGCATTGCTTTCTCAGCATCTCTTAAATTAAAAACTTCTCATGAAAATTTATTCTTTCAGGCAACAAAAATAGCACAACTCTGAACAAAACCCCACTTGGGCTACTTTTACTGATGCCACTGTCACTGATTACCTTGTTTCTCCAAAAGAATGATCACAGCACCTGGAGAGACCGTTTCAAAGTATTTTTCTTTTCCCCTAAGACAAGCAAATGCTATCACTTTCTATTCCTTTCCAAAGACCAATCTACTTGGAAAAAAAAATAAATCTCAAAAAGCAGTCTGTGGACAACAGAACACTTTTTCTTGGAGACCCTCCAAAATAGGTTAGTCTTTAAGCAGTGACCACTGGTGTTTGTAGCAGCAAAAATCCACAAACAGCCACTAAAATATATTACTAATAGATATAATTCTTAATACCACATATCTATCTATTTGCCAAAACAATGTGGCCTGGACTGCAAATAAGACTTACTCCCCATTGCAAAACTGCCCACACCCCACAATGTGGTGTGTTTTTGTTTTTGTTTTTTCTGATGGTTGTCATTGAACTCGAAGTTCATTGTTGTTGTATTTAATAACCAAGTTTTTGTAACAAAATAAAATTTACTATTCGTTAGCCACAAGAGATCACTTTAGGTGCCTGCATTCCAAAGCTATCATCTTCCCAGATGTGCTACATGAACAGCTATATTTCTAATATGGACAGCCTTAAGACATTCCTGTCCACTTCAGAAGAATGATTGCATCTGGAAACAGTGACTGAATTCAAGAGATCCCCAAAATACCAACATCGCTCCCTTGTCATTTCTACTCCCTGGTTCTATGCAGAAATCTGTTCAGTGATTTCTTCAGCCAAACACAACACTTCAAGTTGATGTCCAAAAGAGCATACATAAAAATAACATGTGCTTGCTAAATAATCCCCGTGACCCTAGGAGTAAGCTAAGTGTCAGCAACAGCAACAACTAGATTTCCCAACTTTTCTCTGGACAGTGCACCTGGGTTTTCAACAGAAGAATAAACAAAGAAGAATAATCCACCTGTACCCTCTTGGTATATTAGAAGGAAAAGCAAAATATATGACTGTTCAAGTGACTGGCTACCACCAGTCAGAGCCCAGTAATAAATGGATGGCAGTGCAACAGTGCAGAAAAAAATGGATCAATACCAAAGGCCACAAGAAGCTCGAATGAACAGCCTCATGACATGATACTCAGCTGAAGATAAACAGTCCTCCTCTTGATAAACACGGATACTGTTTCTGCATAGCTTTAGCCTGACTTTATTTTGACTAGACAGATAAGCAGTGGCTTATTTATATTGGGATCATTTCATCACTGACCTTTTTTTACCATTCGGCCAGCTACAGTGAACTGTGTGGAGTCATTGGCTGCTCCTTTACCCTTGGACTTCCAGGCTTCTTCTCGAGCTGTAATCAGGTGTTTCCTTTCTTCAATGGTCATTTGACTCTCCTGGTTATCTGCCATTCTCTGCTTTTGGGGGGAAGAGAGAGAGATATGTTTAAAAACGATAAACTGACCAGGATATAGCAAAAGACTGGATGAACATTTCAACTGCCAGCTGTAGAGGGAAGAGAAAAGGAGAACAAGCTACTGAAGTAAAGGCACAGGCAGAGCTTATTGACACCAACCATGAGAAGCTTCATTGTCTTGCTGCCCCATTACACTGTGAAGATAAGGTTTTGGTCTATGCTTTTTGACCTTCTCTTGAAACTACTAGCCAAGGCAAATAGCATTGCTCTAAGCAAAGCAAACCATTTACTCCACATATAATTTTCCAGACCTTGATCTTCTGAAGCATGACTTGTTACACTAAGTGAGATCACTAAAACAACTCTCAGCGGTTGTTTTCAAGTGTGCAAATCTGCAGGTGGCACAGGGAATAACAATGAAGAAGAGTAACCTCAGTCAGTGATTGCTGATTCTCTCTTACAATAACGCAATTCTCCAGGCAGGATTAGCAGCCTTAGCTCTCCAGAGGCCACTCACTTAGTTCCTATGTTAGCTTGCTCTACTGAATATTTTTCCAATGACTGTGAACACCATCTCCTCCCTGGTCACACTTTTGCTTTCCTATAGAGGGTAGCAGCCAACTGCTTGAGTGATTGGAATCAGCCAGGAGTACTATCTTGGTGCCCTCCTAACACCCAGGATTGAGGACAGTACATTAAATAGGAAAGAAACTGAATTTACACACTCTGCTCTAGCTAGCTCAGACAAAAGAAATGTTGTTTCAATGCACTTATTAAAAAGAAGCAACAGTTCAGGGATTATACTGCATAGAAATCAAGCGTAAAAGTATTTTTAGTGCATGGGAATGTCAACTCTAGAATTACTTCTGAATTGTGTTCTAGCAGAAAGCAGAAACAAGCATTTTTTTGAATAAAAGATTTTAAGCTGTTCCAGTGGGCAAAACATCTTTGGAGTTCCTAAAAAAAAAAAAAAATCTGACTGGACATGTATGTTACAAAACTCAGAGCAATTCCACATTAGATCTCTTCCTAATGTGAACAAAAAAAAAAGAAAAATTGGATAGGAATTCCTAATCCATTTAATTTGCCATAACAGTCCTGGTGAAAAACAACAGTGTATACGATGACTAAAAGTAATAGTTTTCTATACCTATAAAAATAACATGAGTCAATGCACCTGTCAAAAGAAATTTCAACAGGCTTTTAACTGCAAATTTTATTTTCAATAAGAAAAAGAAATGAAGATATAAAAGATGAATAAAACTCAAAATTCTAACTGTGACATTTTGATGAGGGTAGCTAAAGATCCCAATAATAAGCTGAAATAAGAATTAGTGTATCAAGAATAAATAAAAGCTTAGGAAGACAACAGCTCCAATGTAATTTTTTCCATGAGAACAAAAGGGTGGTGACATTCAGTGAAATATCCTCATTTATAATGAAAATGACATCCATGTGTTCATTGGTATCTGTTCTTCTAGACAAATTCTAAATTCCTAAAATGAAGTGAAACAGAAAAATCAGAAGAACTGGCATCCAACAAAATGAAATAACTGGAATAGGAGGTGCTCCAAACACTACTAATGAACTTAAAAGCCATTGAAAACAGAAAAATATATAGGACTGGTAAAGGCTCAGGTGGGAACAATGTTTAGAAGTAAAACTAAAGCATCTAGGTACAGGTCACACAAGCTGTGTGTTGTTCCAGACTCATGGGAAGACTGCTGTAAGACAATCAATGCAGAATCAAAGCACAGGCGTGCAATTAATGCCATTCCACATGGCATTAGGGAAAACAGGTTTAATCAAAATGGTAAGTTTGATGAGATCAAGTGTGATTAAATATGTTAACACTGTTGCCTCTGATTTCTTTAATATATTTGACTTAATCACAGAAGACATTTAAGGTTTTTTGAGCAATATAAAAAGATAGTGGAGCTTACAGGCTGCAAGCTAGTTAACTAACTGAAAAATTATTACTAAACAAAAAAGAGCCATAAAGTGATCTGGCTCATCACAATTCTGATCAAAATATTTTCAGATATATTGAAAAAAGATGTAGTTCTGCTGAGAAGACCCTCAGGATTACACCAGCATAAAGAAGAAACAATCACATAGACTGGTAAAAAAAGCTTATCAGAAATACCTAGTGAATGAGGCTTTTAAGATAAACGTTATTTGAAAAGGGAAACAAGCAAAAACCAGCCAATTAGGAAGACAGAAAAAGATGGAAAAAATTGCCATGGGACAATTGTTCTGAACAGAACATCTGCACGGCAATAGCTCCTTTATTGCCAGCCTCTACACGTCTATCCAAGATGCTGACAATTTTGAAAGATTACAGGAAAAAGCTAAAATACTTTTTCAATTTTTGAAAAAAAAAAAAAAAAACTCAGATTAAATCAGACAAGCTTTTATTTTTTACTGATGAGAGGGTTAAGAATAAAGTTTTACCCAGCAAAAATAATTACACATGAAAAATTACTTAATATTGAAGTGAATTTTCTGTATGTTGACAGTTCAGAATAAAGACCATGTCTTTTTCTAAAAGATCTGTTTTAAGTCTTAAAAAGAGTTATAGACGGTGCTGCTAGAACAGTCAGAAACAGGGATTACTTTTCTCCCACTGCCTGACTAGGTTGGACGATACTGATCACTGCAACAGATTTCTTGAGGTGTTCCAGTACTCCACTGGTATTCCACTGCTTTTGCAGTGTCAGTTCATGCTAAGGAATGGCTCACATGTAGGCAATGCTCCATTTTCTATCCTACAATTTTCCAGTTCAAGCAGTGTCTCCTTTAGGTCACAAGAACACAACTGAGTGTGGTCTGTTAGCATGCTAGTTTGCTGTTCAGGGAAATTTGTTTTGTTTTGTTTTTAAATGAAAGTAGTATGAGAATTCATGGTTTTCTATTTTGGAGATCAAGACTGCCCCTGCTTGGGGGTGTCCAAATCAAGAACAAACATAAAAAATGTGTTTTTCAACAGGGGGATCCATGTAAAACTAACTAACGTTATCAATTATGTAAAAGAAGAATCCAGAAAGTATCTATTTGCTTGTTACCACAAGTAACTTGTCTAGTTTAGGCTTGTAAGACACAGAAAGCACAAGAAGAATCCAACAGCTGTGTAAGTATGGAAAAGTTTCTGCCTTTTTTCTCTCTGCAACTTTACGTGAGTGCTGTTATAAGAAGAAGACTCAAATGCAAATGCATAGCTTTCTGTCCAAAAGTGGTCTGAGCAAAACAGAACATAACTCGTGTTTGGTACAAACTGAAAAACAATTAACTGTGCCAGAAAAAAAATCAAATCTGTAGGCAGCTTGGCACTACATTAGAAGTAAGCAGCTTTCTAAGAGAGCAGGATGCAGCTCACCACAGTCAACAGAAAGATGAATACTTTTTGGGTGCTTTTGGGTGCTGTTTTTTTAAGACAGACGGGATACAGAGTCCAGTGAAGGACCTCCTCTCATTACTGGAGAGATATTATCTTAGGCTAGATATTTTCCTTCTAGATACACAGAGCTGGCAACCTTTGTTGCAACAAAATGAATAGGTGATTTGAAGTAATTAGCAATAAAGCTGTATTAAATCCAGAGCTTACACAGAAGAGGTGACACTAACACATTTCAGGTACTAGCCCCAAATCTCATTTTTAATTAAAAAAACATCAGAGTAAAAGGTCATCCTTGAAAACAGCTATGAAAGTGAAAATGGTAAATATCAGTAGTCAAAATTTTTATCATAGTTCCAACAGCCTGTTTCATAACCATCACCCTCTGTTCTAGCAGTGAGTGTCTGCCCCTTGGATTCACTGCCATTACACAGGCTGGTCAGAATGCTCCTCACATGTGACAGACACTGTATTTTGTGTGGGAATGAAGAACCTAATGCATTCCTTGTAGTATGACAACCACAGATCTGAGCTGGGAAGCAAGTGATAAGGAGGTGTAAAAAGGCAGAATTTGATTTGCATAGATCTATTGAGACTTTCCAGTGAACTCCTTCATTTCTTGTGGATTTTCTTCCATTTGTTTCTTTGCCCACTCCTGCCTTTGCTTTTTTTTACCTCTGATCATGTGAAAGAGTTACTGTCTGCTCACATCAAAATCCAGTATTTTACTTCTGCTCAAAGACCACTTTGTTATGTTTACATTTCTCATTATCTATTGATTCTTCATAAGTAAGTTCTTCAAATTGTTTATGGTGGGAATGCAGAAGTATAGACATGATTTTGAGAAGCACTTCACATGAAGCTTCTGTAACAGTTACTGGACCAGCAGCAGAACTCTATTCCTAAGCAAACACAAAGTTAACTCTGTTGTCACAAGTTGCTTTGGGAATGTGCATCTTAGATCTTAATGTATGTTTCTGTCTTGCTCCTTCCTCCAGTATTTAAATAGGCAGTTTATACAGCATTTCACCTTCCATCTCCAAGGATGACGTTCATCAGAAACCAGAGAGCTTGATTCTTTCAAACTAGAATTACAGACCTTAAAGGAAGAAAGAGAGAGAGAAGTAGGAAGATAGGACAGTCAGAGAACAGAAACAGGATGTGCAAAGGCAAAAATCCTTTAGACAGGGACTAAGGAAAAGCACTATAGGAAAGTCACCTTTGAAAAAAAGCAGCTTTTTTTTTATAGTCAATAAATTAGATGATTTTATGTCTTACTCTGTATATGCAAATTACTTACAGAGAAGTCAGGGTACAGAGTATTTTATTCTAAAACAAATGCTGTGCAATTACATCTTCCTCCTTTTATATATCCTTCTTAATAGCTTACAAGTTTTCAGTATTATAGTGAATGGAGTAACATCCCATTTACTTTCTCATTTATACAGTCTAACAGATACAGAGTTTTTAGAAAAGCAGCCATAAGAGAAACACTAGCAGAAGGCATATTGAAGAGTACACAGCATAGTGGCATAATACTCCATTTCTTTAAGCAGCATTTAGTCAGCTGCTGAATTAAGAGGACATTTTCTGATGTAAAAAACAACTGTCAAAATGTGCTTACTTGAAATTGTTGAGCATTTAAATTGTGTGGACTTTTGCTCACCTGATTAATAGGTAGAAAAGGATGAAATTTATGGAGAGCAGATATAACAGGAGAGTAAGTAGAAGCATATACAGGTTCCTATGGCAAGGACAGAAGCAAAGGAATTAGAAAAGAACTGGACTATCAGAAATGGAGATGGAGCAGGGCGGGTAATAACTCATCTTTCCCAATTTCTTAAAATTAAGTAAATCTGAATCTTTTGATCTTCTGGATATGTGTTCCTTATTGCAAAGCCAGATATCAAAAATGTTGTAATATAACAGCATGTTTACCAAAGCCACTCCATGCAGGAATTAAACAGGTTAGCACCAATATCACTACAACTCAACACAGAGCAAAACAGCACAGTCAGAAAGATAGACTTTTCATATGCTGATAATTTTCATGTCTGTTTTCATGCACCATTAAACTGATGAACCATGTCAACCACAATGTGAATAACAAGCTAAATAACAAGCCATCTATTTTCTGGATGAAAGGGAAGAATGCTTACTAAAATTGGGATACTCAAAAGCCATCTGGAGGGAATTGCTAAGCCCACAGAACTCAGTGAAGGTGAGTTCACTGTTCTAAACAGAGCCTACAAATAACCCCTGCCTCAGAGCTGGGTTTACTCAAAGCTGATTAGACAGGGTTTATCATCTATAATTCTTCTTCCTTTCTATAGATTAAAGCAAATGTGGAACATCACACAGAATATGGGCAAATGCAGCTTGTTAGAGAGGCTCAAAATGAATCCTAATGATTAGAGTTTCAGTTTTGATTAGAACTGTATATGAGCACTTGGTAGATGCCATATATTAAATGGATAAAACTATTACCACAGCATAAGACTAATACTTTGCTTAGAGGTCACTTTTTAAGGGTTTACTCCCTTCAAGATTTTTACACACTTCATCTCTGAGTAATCTTGAATTGATTGTTCAGCTCTAGCCTTTAACACCAGTGCTGAGCAGCAATCCGAACTTGATATAAAAACTAAATGCATTTCAAATGTCATTCAGTGCTTTAATGTGACTGCAATGCAGCTGGTAATCACATTAATCAGGGACTCCATTAAAAATGTCTGATTATAAAGTAAGCATTTTCATTCCAGTAAGTCTTGTTATTTTGGTTCTAAGGAAGGATTTTAAAGTTAGTTAATTTTTCTACACATGACAAAACCCCAGAAACTGGAAGCCTTCCATCCAGCCAAAGATGATGAATACTAACATACTTAATCCAAAATATTTTTTCCCAAATAAAAGGTATTTTTATCCAGTAATACATTCCTCAGTGTACAGTTGTACCCCTGATGTTAGAACTATTCTTTGAATTGTCCATGTACGTTTTACCTTACATATAAATAATTCAAAAAGTCTCACAGCTTCCAACAAATTTTCCTCTTGTGTGCAGCAATCATCAAAACAGATACTGGACCTCCAAGTAAATCTCAGCGTCCCCCTCATCTGTGTCTTCCCGAGTTAATTCCTTAGTCCCTTTTCTTTGATTTTTTTTTTCCCATTTGAGGATGATCTGTCAGCTTTTCCATGAATTTTATGGGTTTTCTACAGTTTAGCCTACATATAAATGACTATAACACATCTGGAGAAATACCTTGTCATGCAGACAACTATGCAGAAGCATTTTGACTAGAAGTGATCAAACAGCTACTTCACATAACTATGTTACTATCAATCACCTTTTGTTGTTTCTAAGAAATCAAAATGTACTCTAATAAAGTTCTATTTTATACAGCTCTGCTTCAATAATCAGATCTTCAGGACAATTTAGACAGACACCTTTGCAGGTTTTCTTTTGTGTGTGCGTGTCTTTATAAAGTTTGACTACATTAACAGGAATGACATACTGCAACTAAAAACTTCAGGCATTATTTTGAACCAACAGTGCAAGGCAGAAGTTTACACATGCTTGCTGTTGATGCATGACTGCCATGTGTGGAAATTGTATTTTAACTAGCTCAAGACACGGTAATCAATACAATTCCTGCATTTTTATTGCAATCCAGGAATAGAAAGCTCTTCAGCAGAGCCTTCAGTGGCATACTGCTTCATGGTCCTCAAAGCATAATTGTCAGCACATTGATTAATTATCAATAATAGTATTTCCAGATTTAAGGGCAGCTGACATGGTATGTTGTAAGCAGTGTGGTCAACTTGGTGAAGCTTTACATCATTTATCATGTATCACATAACAAATCGGCATCACATATATCAATACAGTTCAGGGAGCTCTGTATCTACTAACAATTTTTTTTTCTTAGATATCCAAGACTTCACCTGTTGGCAGACATGCAAATCCTTTGATTTAGACTCTAAAGCCAAAAGCTAGCATGAACCAAAAGAGTGGGTGACCCAGTGTCACAGAAACTCCCACTGCTAGCGTTGTCACTTCAAAGCTTGTACCCTTCAAGCACTTCATGCTCGCTTTAAAAGCCTAACTTGTGCTCTGCTGAGTGAAGCTGCTGCACATGGTAACACAGAAGGGAGGATATGGGTACTGGAGAGCAAGAAGAAAGAACAAAGGTTTTGTCTCTGCCTAAATCTTGGCAACTGCTTAAAGCTTTTTCTCAACCCCATTGTCTTTAGCTGGAGTACATTTGTTATCTGATCTCAACAGTTGTCATTTTGGAGACTAGCCTGTTAAAAATGTGACTCCAATTTTGTTTTCCTCCCTGAAACTATGTTGGCTTTAGGACATCTTTCAAACTAGCAACAGGATTTTTGAGTAAGTCCAGAGGTCAAAACCAAAATAAAACCCATGAACTGAAAAAAAAAAAAAAAAATCAGCTTGTTTTTCTGTTCCATCAACACAGAACCACTGATGTGTCACATGCTTATGCACAGACTTATCATCACTAATCACTGGCAGTGTAGGAACTCCTTACTTGTAATATACTCATGGAACAGGAGACTTTTTGTTGTTCCTTGCCTATACTATTTAGGAGAAGCAGCATGTTCACAACCAAAGAACTGGATCCAAAGATGACTGTCCCCACTAGTAAAATTTATAACAAATTTTACCTTCACTTGTCCTCTGTGAAAATACTCCTTCAAAAATTAAAGGCTTTTTAAATAGCCTATTTTATCTGACACTGTAATTTTCAAAATACTGGAGTCAGAAGGGAAGCAAGTCTACATTAGTCCTGTGGTTTGAACCAGCAGTCCATTTTGAAGCAAATCTCCCAGTCGCCCTCACTTTCTGTGCTTTGGTTCCACTGCAGGATGCACAGACCTTTAGATGAAACTACGTCCTGAAGTGCACTCCTGGATTCCCACCTAACACCACAGCTGCTAACAGCAGTCAGGCCACGGGAGCAGACTAATTTCAGCCTGAAGCAAAGGAAGCAAGGCATGGATAGAAACTCTTCATCAGTAATTGTTCTGCTTTACAGATCCACACTGCTGAGCAACTAAACTTACATGTCTTGTGTATAGACAGAGTGCTAACAATGTGAACTTCCCTTTCCTCTACACCTTTCTACCCATCTCCCACTCTATTCACTAACATTGACAAGACAGATAAAATCCTTGTCAGATGGTTTTGGCTATCCACAAAGACCAAAGATTATGCAAGAAAATAAAGCCAAATGGATGGCTCATGAATACTCCGGTACCTGCATTTCCTCAGTGTTTCTAAGATCCAAACAAGTGGTACTCAAAAAAGTATATGCACAGTGACAACACAGACTTAGGAATCTAATATTTTTACAAGCTCACTCATACTAAACACCTGAAATTAAAATCTTAAGCCAATTTCATTGGGGTGGCATGGGGGCTGGAGGCTTAAATTCCAGAAGCCTTAGAGGTGCACTTACAAGTTCATAAGACAATGTAACGAATGTTTTACGTCCCAAGACAGCAAAGACATTCTGTTTTAAAGAGCTCTCATGCTGGGAGAACTGTTTCTTAAACAAGCCTCACAACAAGAGGAATAGCAGGAGCTAGTAGCTAATATTAGGCATGCCCGTCTAGCTGGATGCATCTTCAAAAGGCTGACATGTTTCGAGCAAGATGGTTTTTCCAAACAAGGATAGACTCACCTTCTTCAACAGCTGCTCAACTTCCTGCATCTGCGCGCTACGATCCGTCACAGACACTTTTGCATACTCCTGCTTTTTGCCAAGCCTGCTCTTCCAATCTTCTTCACCACTCTTCTTTAGCAATGCCAGCCTAGAAGAAAAAACATGCCAACAGGTAGCTTTAAACACCGTATCCTCAAAAGCTACCCTGATTGTTCCACTACTGCTGCATTCAAGAGAATGTGAAATTGAGTTTTCTAACATTAACTATAGTTATTTACATTTCATACACGTACACAAAGCTCACAAATGAGCACCAAGCCTTTACTGAACATGTTGAATGTGAATTATCTGTGAAAACACAGATATCTAAATCTGAGACAGGTATCCCAGTTAATTTGTACAGTCAGTGGAAATTGCCAGTATAGTCAAGGGAGACCAAGGTACAATGCAGATCATCCTAAAGTAGACATAAAACCAGATTAGATTAATCACTGTTTTTCCCCCTCCCTTCTGTTGATAAGGCACAGAGTGACTAGCTCAGCTATGGATGCTTATGCTGTCAATGTCCAAAGTTGAGAAGATGAATCCTACCTTTGGTCTTTACAAAATCATTTAAAAAGATATTTAAAAAATTATTTTCTCTAAAACCAAA